GGAGAACCACTGGAGATTGTGGAAAACTTTACGTACCTCGGTAGTTGTATTAGCTCTGACGGAAGTGTGTCTGATGAAGTCAGTGCAAGAATCTCAAAGGCTCGAATCACGTTTGCTAATTTGCGTCACTTGTGGCGTCAAAAAGGCATCTCACTGGATCTTAAGGGTCGTGTGTACCAGGCTACAGTAAGGGCTGTTGTTGTATGGGTGCGAGACATGGACTCTGCCGACAGGTGATGTGAGGCGTCTTCAGGTTTTCGAGCACCGATGCCTCAAGCGTGGCTGGTGGTGGACGGCGTCAGCGTGTTAGTAAAGAGGTGATTAGAAAACGGATTTTGTTGGAGTTGTACGCCTACAAGGATGGGCTCCCCGTGACCCTGCCTGTGTTTGGCTGGAGACATTGCAAGAAGTGGCGGCTAGTCGATGTCAGTGGCATTCGTGCTTTTTCCATTCTTTTCACTCTAGGGCTTTTAATATGATTATATATTTGTATACGGTTGTACAGCAGTGAAGCATGAGTGTCAACGCTGATGTTGCTGTCCTTGATAATAATAATAATAATAATTCCAATCATGCAAGGAACTGAAAGCATCAATCGTAATATCCTAATTAGGTCAAATCTAGGAGCAATCGAATGCGGCACGCTCAGCAGTACCACAAGGCGTGATGACGTGGAAATTGGGCGAATTAATGGATTAATCAATACCCCAAGCCAATATCCTATTCATTATTTCCTCGTGTTGGAAAAAAGTAGAAGACCAATGTAAGTATCCACTGTGAGAATGTCCAAAAACACCAATGAGATATTTTCGAAACAACCGGCTTCCGGTAGTGCTGGGAGACTGTGGTTTGAGTCCTTCGGGAACAGATGCAATAGACTTTTAAAGAACTTCGAATGTGACAGGCAAGTAAACAGGCATTAATCACAAGAATGTTCTCAACTGCTTAGCGAGCGACAGATCCACTGAACGTTTCGGTGGACGCCTACAACCAATTCACACACAGAACGAGGGCTGGGATCTTACCAGGTTGCTCAACTCTAAGACAGCAGCCCCTGATAGCTGATTTCCATCCCAAACAGAAGCTGAGTAGCACTCTAGAATACAAAAGTACTCACGAAACTAAGAAAGCCTCGATCTGTGAATCGCAGTAGGTTCGTTCTTCAACAACACAGTCAGCAATAATCTAATGCTGACGAATACGAGGTGATGAGCACATAAGTTAGTGGTTAGACGCAGCAAAAAAACAAAGAAGACCAGATCAACTGAAACACAAACAGGGCCAAATGAAAACGGAAAATGAGATCCACAACAAAAACATAATCGTACCTGTGAGGACTAAAGACAAAGGAAAATCGAGGGTGGGACGATTGAACATACACGAGGTCAGGGGAGAAACGTATTTCTTCCGAAACGAATTGACGATATAAGGGTTGGTTATAAAAGTTGAGAGAACTAGGTGGTGTTCTCAATAGAAATTTCATCCTCTCAGTGAAGCTAACCTATGCTGAAAAGCTGAGAAGCATTGTATAGCTGCTGCAACCTTACTGGGGATCGTCAGCAGTGCGCAGCTCCCAAAAACCCGGGGGTTTCAAGCCCACGGGCTTTGAGCCAGTGGCTGAACACTTAACCGTTGGCCACGAGCATGTGGTCAGCAGTGTGATTAGCTCCCACACAGACGGGACATAGCGCCACTCATGCTTCGATCACATAGACCACATCACATGGTCGTGTATTGACTGGCTCCTCAAGTAAGGACTTCTCAAATGGAAGTGTCAGATTATTCTTCCTCTGAGCTAATTGAAAATCACCAAATCTCCTCAGACCACATCCATGATGGAAATGCACTACATGAAAAAAAAACACTGTTACACTAATGCCTTCCTGCATACAACCAGCACCATCACCGATCACACCACATGATGAGCTACAACGTGACTATAGCATGCGGCTGGCATACAGCACAAGTTTCTATCCAAGGAACACTGGTGCGAAAATAGCTGGCTGCTGGCCCGTAAAAGACACTGACCGCAACAAACGGTGGAACAAGATGGATAAATGCTGTCTGCAAAGAATGAAGATAACTCACCTCAAAATTAGTCTCACAATCTGTGGTCTGTATCCCAATGTATTCGAGAGTGGAGAATGAGTCTACGTTGCGATTCATTTCGGCTATTCGATGTTGGAGGACGCTGGTCACTAACGATGAAAAGAAAGGGAGACAGGGGACGATGCAGGAAGTTTAGAGTGAAAAAGTTGATGGAACTCATGAGAAAATGATCCTCTTAGGCACTGAGGCGATGAGACATTTCGTCTGATGTCCCAGTGGTCTTCTCCCTTGAACAGACATGTGATCGGACATTCGCATCCGTGTTTTAACACAGCAGCACAAGTGACCTCTATTTGTCAGCTGTGGCGAATTCCCACAAAAGCAGTTTTATCCAAGCTAAACCTATACACACGCGTCTACGTGAAAACCGAAAAGACAAAAACAAACAGTATAGTATTACAACTAGAGAAATCAAATAATTATTAAGTCAACACATCGACTGGAAGTTCTTTCTCGGTAGTATAGGAACCCAATAATAGACTATTGACGAGGCAAAAACCCATTTTCACTTTCCTTAGATGACCATTTATAAGTAGTCAGTATTGCAGTCATGATTGGTGGTAAATGCTTCCCCGATCTTCTCAAGTAAGGCCGAATGTCAAATCTCAAGAACCGATAACCATTTCCATAGTTTAACCCGCTTTCTCATTCCGTTGTGCTCCACACCATATGTATCTCGAAAGTTGTACTAGTTCCGACAGTAGTGCGAAGTGAACGCACGAATCTCGAAGGTTAGGAGTGCGTTAGCAAATTTGTGCCATTTGTGGTGTCAAAGGACGCCTGTATCAGACTAAAGTATGGACTGTATTGCTGTAAGGCTGCGAGACTTGATCACTTCGAGTAGAAGATCTGAGATATCTCCAGATCTTTGACTACATACTGTTCAAGAACTAAACCTGGAATCGGGAGGGACCAGCGAATTCGCAGTGAGATGATCAGGTGGATTTTTTGTGAAACAGAGAATCTTCCCTTCAAAGAATGCATCCACCACTGCAGACTAAGGTGGCTGTGACATGCGTTACGTATGCCGAGTTACCCCCAGCAGAAACTAGTGCTTTTTCCACGCCTAATTTGGACTGGCAAAAACTCAGGGGTGGTGGGAAGTTGACACGGTAGAAGGGAATGAAGGATGTTGCGAAATGTTCGAGTGACGTTACTGCTGTTCACCTTCGAAGATGCGGTCCATGTGACCCTCCTAGTGTTTGACTGAAGAGAATGAACGATATGGAGTCTGACCGATGTAATTGGTGCTTTGTTGATATTTCCTACCCGGATTGTCTGAGTGTTGAAGATGTAGGCATCTCGAATTTTTGTAATAGGTTATCCCTAGGTCCACTTCCCTCTCCCATTTCTTAATCCTTTTCCAGACTGCATTCAAACAAACTGGCGTGGCTATACGGCAGTGAAGCACCGGTGCTCCAATCTAATGTTGCTGCCATCGATGATGATAATGGATCAACTTAAGATGCCACGTTACTACCTCACTCCCTACCCCGGAGTCCGGATTCAGTCACAGAGATTTTGAAAACCAACTTCCCTATTTAGACCCGTAATTTGTTTCTGTTTTCCTTAGTCGACTGCTACCGGAGGAGACTTCAGCACTTAAGGGTCGGCGTACAATACTGACCATATTAGTTAGGTAAAGTACATCCCTCTGGGAGAATGACCGTACCTTATCCACGCAGTCGATGAGTTCGGGGGAAGAGACAACAAAAGTTGAATTCATAGGCGATGTACATTTGACTAGCAGAAATGTGTTCATGGTGAATGCAAAGAAGGCCATGAAAATGGAGTCATCCAAAAAACCTCTCGCACAAAGAAATCTGATCACTCTCAAACAAGCTTTCAATACAGTGCTGCATTACAGAATCTGAGCAGACACGAATTCTGTCGCGTCTCTGTAAGATCCGCATTTGTTCACTTCAACAGCAAATGGATAAATTGAACGCATGGAGGCAAAACAAAACAAAGTCACATATGAATATAGCCGAAAGGCCTTCAGCAAACCAAGAGCCATAATTACGTCAATGCATCCTCAGTCATATGACTCAGGCTCTGTACAGCTGATCGTTTCGGCATTTAAATCAGTCATTCACTAGTCAAATTACATCACCAGCGTTGGGCTACTCAACAATGGACAAGAACGATCAGAAGTATCCACTAGAACCGACCAAGCTAGACGAAATGGGTTGACAATCAAGCTGACAGGCGCTTTCACATGTTTAAAATGGAAATTTGTTGCAGTGTGCCTAGTGGGTACTGGCAGAACAGTAATAATTGGCCTGGCACAGCACGGCCGAAGAGTTCCGGTAGGAGAAAGTCTCTAGCAGTTTTTTTTCATTCATTTGCGTGAACTAATCAGTATGAATGAGTAAGGAGAGGAGGAAGAGAACTGTTCAAACGGCGATGTGAATGTAAACACCATGGATTGGGTCTCCGATCCACACAGACGGGTTTAGTGAGTGAGTGGCTAGGAAAGGTGGTTTGATCCGTTCGCCCCAGAAGCACTGTTTCGATCAATTCAGACGCCACCTAAGAAGTCACACTTGAGTCGATTCAAACCCCAACATATACAAATTTGTGAAATTCAGCCACACTCAAGTATGTCGTACGTTCACTGCACACCACTGTTACCTGATAGTTTCCAAATAGCAGCCGATTATCTACGGGCTGGATGTTTATTCATCCGTAATACAACAGTCCATCTTCATTATACACGCACTCATTATAGCATTATTACAAACTTTTGTTGCCTGTGCGTTTCGGCGATCACATTCCCCCCTTTCCGTCATCGATTAGCAAATATACTTCCTTTGATTGTGACAACTTGCGTGTCAAATCGAACAAGTGTTTTCGTTCTATACGGCAGCAGAGGTATTCACCAAAGCTGGACCGGATTTCAGGCCATATGCTGCTCTATACAATCTTGACTGGATTAGATTTCTCCAGCGGACAATGTTGGGTAGAGTTGAGCATGCCACTCAGGAGAAAACCAACACGTAGGCAGATCCCACTTCTGCAGCTAGTATAAGAGTTATGCAGCCACAGTATCGGGTTACTTACATTCTGACCGCTCCAACAAAATCACACGTGGATTCGAAGAACGACGTCTACTGACAATACGAGTTGGGACTCGATACGTTCATAGTAAAACGGAGAGCAGTTAGGTTACAAAACATAACGAAAGTGACAATCACGGAAGTGTCGCTTGATGCGATGTGAAAATACTGACGACTAGAAAGGCGTGGGTGTGAGTATAAATGACGCGAAGTAGTAGCGAAATACACTCATCTGCATACCAGTTCGGTTTTCACGGGAGGCTCAACTGTATCGCTCGTCTATGACACTCGTCTTCAACCGAATGCGCTGCATCAGGTCGACTCATGTTTCAATGGGTACGATATTCCAGTATTGAAATACGTTGTATAAACGTAAAAAATACTCATACGGTTGTCGATCAACATAATAAACGAGAGATTCGGTTGGGCCCCCAGTGAAAACCAAACTGGTAGGTAAATGAATGTACTTTGCTAGCTTCGTGTAATTTGGGTTGTCGAGGAGTTCTCAGCAACCTTGTGAGTAGTGTTTCACGCCTAGAAAACGTGAAATATTATTGTTCAAGGAAAAATGCTTGAAGAGAGTGAACTCCATTTTGCAAAAGCACGGAAAAAAGTCACCGACGGATCATCGCAAAACGATCTTGCTTAAACTACTCATCCATTCTTTCAATAAGATAATCGAACAGTTGGTTCGGTAAGAAGTCTCAAGGCTTGGACTCGGTATGACACGACAACAAGATGAACTACTCAGTATCCAAATGGATCGCTTACGTGCCGTAACGGCGTATGATTACTTTATTGTCTGGGATGCTACATAGATCACATGACAAGTGACTATCACGGCCAATTTAAATATCAAAAGCCTATTGTGATACGTAGCGCAATCTCGATATAAAAAACTTGTCAGAGCTGATTTTTGCTGAAGGAACACTGCTCATAAGATTGCCGAAAACTCTTCGACACAACTCTTTCACGACCTGTTGCACACTTTTTAAGGCCCATGCTTCAACAAACTATACCGTAGTATCCTGAATATCTTACCAAATGGAACGTGAGACAGCATTTGCGCAGAATACTGAGCTGAGGGACAGCATAAACGAGAGATTCAGTTGAGCCTCTCATTACAATCAAATTGCTATACAAGTAGGTGCATTTCGCGAATTGTTACAGCTTCCCTTCAACAGGCATCCCCATTTCGGTTCAGCCAGAGAATTCTCGTCCCCATGAAAGGTGTTGTCCTTCGAGTGTTGAACTATGATGATTCCACAGCAGGAAGACAATATACACTCCTCCTAAACAACCATACTAACTATTAGATAGGCAGCTGCTTGGCCACATAACTGTGTCCGGAGATAAGTTTGTGGATGATTCACGTTAGGTTGCTGTGACAATGCGAGATGCGATGGAAAAGACAATGGTATCGAATGAAAACCTACCAGGATTGTTTTCATCACTGTCCTTTAGTGGGTTGCTACCTTCATTCCGATGATATGGTGTGGGCTTGCCATCGACCTTCGGGCCATCGAGAGGATCTGTGTGCCGCGTCTCTTGGAACACAATGACTGCTGGGCCTAGTTGCCCATGGGACCAAGGTAAACGATTCTGTTTGGCCAGGGTCTCGAGCTCGGGACGGAAGTGCTGAGCGAACGAATCACTAGCATCGGCAAGGAAAGTGAACATGTCCGCATGTAAACGTGGCGCCTTGGTCAGATAGATGACAATATCAGCCACGGCGAACACTTTGAGCAGTAGACGACGATGTTGATTCTGATTAAGTGTGGTACCCAGAAGACCTGCAAAAAGTGGAATGACGCGTGGCCGGTATATAAGATGTTATGAAACATCTAATTCCTAAGAGAGAGGGGGTCGAGTACGGGTAATTTCAACACCCAACTAAAAGCCAAAGACCTTTGAGCATAATAGTTGTTTGCCACAGTCAGCCACAGTTCATGTGTTGGGGTATGGCCTTTTAATTAAAATTTACCCCTGATTTTTCCAGTTTCCGCAGTATCTTAGCATTTACGTTCCCTGTGTTTTATGGCAGCTACACATCAGGATACTGCAATTAAATGACCCGATTGCACTTTCTTTCATAAGCGTATCAACCAGTTAATTGTCCTTGAGTTTCCGAAGAACAATAGAGTCCCACCGTCTGTCCTGTGGTAATCCCGCGTTTCTCTAAGTATTCGCAGCGTGTGTATAGGGGTTAAGGAGCAAAATGTATGTGAAACTATACAGTGAAATTGGTAAAAACAAAACTACACGTTCACCGAATTGATGCTCGTATTCATTTGGTATTCACAGAAAAAGTCGTCTAAAGTCACTACGATGTGGTCTCATCATTACGTGCCAGTCGAACTTAAACAACTGTTTTACTGAGCTAGCTCAAACCGGTATTGATAAACTAGTCTTGCATTGCAAGGCACACAAACACAAGAGACGGTTTGCTTCACTTATCACACTTATTGCTAGCAGCTCGAGAATCACGGCTGCAGATGCCAATTTATGAGCTAATTCTTCTCACCACAGTGTTTCGACTCAACTTTATACTGGAGAACGCGGAACACAGTGGATGTACGAACAGCCCCGTCTACTCAGACAACATACGGTCTACTTAATTTTGTTTTCCAATATCCGTAATGATAATGAAAAACTCCCCCCGAGTTCATTGTTTCCGTCATCGGTGTGGACTTGCAAAAATAATTGCGCCAGGACAGGAGGAGGACTGCTCGAACGAGTGATGGGGATGTGAACTCTATAATTTCCGAAGCGACTTACAACGAATCAAAAGTTATGCAGTGGGTTTCAAACGTCCGTGGCACTACCTGACTGGGGATATCCGACAGGCAGGTCAATCGATCGACCCAACCAGAACAGTTACTGGGTTATTGTTCGAGGCGTCACGTAAACCAAGCGTGAACAGACGTTCAGACACTATAATTCAGGTGCGTCTACTTTGTTCTGGTAGGAGTGGAAACACGCTCGCCTCACACGTCAGATCTCCGGAGCTCGAAACTCCGCACGGACACAGGTTGGTGACCTCTATAAAGAGTGTAAATCGAGTCTGGTAATTTCCCCCTTTGGTGTGGACTCATGCCAATAATTGTGCCAGGATGAGGTAACTCCATACATCTAAGATGAGTTGAGTCCAAGATGACTACGTTCAAGCAATCTTCATTTCATCTGGTACTGCTCCTCATAAATTAATTCACTCCATCACTATAAATGGGTCGAAGTGACATTTCCGCATCAATCTGTTACTACCGAACGAAATATCTCGCACAGCATCCCACTGACAGTAAACATGTACTCCCCAATACGAGCTACCCCAGATGTGGAAGTCAGTCAGTCACCTATTCAGTTGCAAGTCGGATACCAAGACACAGTGGTTCCGGTTGTTACACTTTCGTCAACAAAGAATAAGAAGAGCATGGGGATGACAGTAACTCATTGGAGATGATCCAGTAAGTAGATTGAATTTGAATCATTTTGCTTGTATGACAAAGAAAGAAAGGGAGAGTGGCAGGTTGAAGGGTCGTGATTGGCTGCGCGACACACCCATTTCTGTCAGTATCACAGGCAACTAGTTCGTCTTGCTCCGGGGTCCCAATCCGAGCAGATAGTGACAGACTAAATTAATCAATAAGGACTTTCATGTTTCATTGCCAGGCCATAAACCGCAGCGGCGTAATCCCTGCCCTTGACCGATGAGCTTATGGGATAAGTTTATCCTTCACCTGAACCTGAAACGTTCACATGTAAAAGGCCTTCCAAAAGCTGAGGAAATCCCTTTCTTCTCTGAGAAATTGCTTCAGTTTAGTTGTCATCGTAATTTCATAGGAAAACTCGTGTATTCGTGCATGTTCCCCGTTATTCTGTCATATTGCCTTGTCTGTTTACGAATTTCCAAACCAAATCTGAAACTCACCTCAAAAACAGGTCTCATCTCCACCATCACATACCGTTGTATCGCGCTTTTTAAGTATTTCCTGCACGTTCTGCAGTTCGTCCACATACACTAGTTCACATCATCATGTCCACTCAGATCTCTCAACAAGGCCTAACACCACGCTAGAAATGCTTCAAAACATACAGATACCTACGATTCCCAGTACAAAAAGTCAATTATCCAGCTTTTAGCTCCATAGTTCACTCATCGGAAGGTTGTTTACACTCAAATTCGGATGGCTTTATCCACTTTACCAGCACTGACAGTTGGTGTTGTGAGAATAAGACCATACATGATCAAAGAGATCACAATAGAAAACAAAGCAGTATTGCTGGTGGGCAACGGCGAGATAGATGTGGCTGGGGTTAGTCAGTTATCAGAGACACCTCATGACGATGTGGAAGGAATTTGTTGACTACCAAAGGGTCCAAGAACACAGTATGGCTGAAAAAACCTGACACTTGCCTTCTGTATCCAACACAAGGCAGTTTTGTGACGGAGCGCAGGCAGCCCAAACCCCGGTAGTACAAGTACATTGTGAGGATGAAGTGAGGAAAACCTCAGCACGATCGAAGAAGGTATGGTTCATAGTGTATGACTTCCCATCGCCAGTGTTCCCCACGATGGCCACGACTTTGAGTAGCTGATCCATTGGACAGCCCAATTCGGCGGCGAAACTCTCACAATCATCAAACTGTGGGAAACATGAGAAAAGCGAGAAGACGTGAGTTTTGAGCGCTATACCCACTTATCCTGAACAGATACGCGCACACACAATCCTCTCACAGCGATTTTCTGAAAATAAAGGATGGTCAACTGATGCACCACCAGAACAATTAGATACGGGTCACAAATGACCCAACACTGCTAATTTGATGTCAACCGAAAGAACATGCATTAAAAACTACGAAAGGACCCGCATTTATCACCGAAACAACGGTATTTTCGTTGACATACTCCAGACAACAAAGGTTCTAAATATTTTAAAGGTGTTCGTGCGATTTCGACAAGCACAATGCTGTCCTCCGAAGAAAAGATGCATCCGAAAAGGAACAGCAATTTTACGAGCCGGACCGACACCGATTGCAGCTGTATACGACTATTTCTGTTATATATGATACAAGACACTGTGTTATTTAGGTCAAACCCAGCGAAAACGCGCCCATATCTAACCATTTAGCACCAACTACTTGTTATGCTGTCGGCAATTATGGAGACCTACCTGTTCGCGTTTAATGAAATTCCTGAAGATATGGCACCTGTATGTGGCCAAAAATGAGCTCAAACACAGAACCCTATAAAAATCGTCCGAAAAGTTACATCTGAATTAGTCTATATCTGTTGGTGTCAGCGAATCCATCGCCAGTAAAGTTCATCAAAAGTCTATCACTGATGGCAGCCGAGGTCTGCAGATGCAACCTGTAGGGCAGATGCGTTGGATCATAGCCCGGCAAGCGTTTGACTCACACATCAGATTCCCGGAGATTAACCCTCAGTCACAGGCGAGGAAGTTTACCACAAATAAGAGAATTTCAGGTCCAGTGCGCACACAATCTGCCGTGGATTAATCAGACAACTATCTTCGAAACAAGCGTTAAAACACTGGGTGTACAAAAACTCCACAACTATCAGTGAACGGAAGTCCAAAACGGTTGCATACACGATACACGGTGTTGGTACTTAAAAGGATGATTTGAACTCAACTCCAAGTTCAACAGCGCGCTGTCTTCCCTGGAAGACATTGACTATTTATGAAATAGCAGCATGGGGATAATTAGCAGCTGATCGACATGCAACCATCTAAACATTCGGATGGAAGGCGATTGACAAGGGAAAAACTGTGAGAGCAAACACTACGTCCCAGTTACCCAGGTCGAGTAAAGAAGGTCAGCTGAGTTACTTCATCTTGAGCCACTAACTCAAGGGTCTAGCTCCTATGGTGGAGGATAGTATGACTCTTCTAGATCACCTCTTAATAAGATTACTCGTAAAACGGGGGGTCACCGCACTTTGCCTAACTGCTTTCATTTAGCCTTTGTAGCGCGACCAAGTTTTGCGAAACAAAGGTCCCGACCGTCACATCAGCACGACTGCTTTCAGATGTATAAAAGGTGCAGGTAACAGATAGACTAGTGAAGGGCACGACGAAAATCAACAAGGATAAAGGCTAACTGATTCAGACATCGGATGAGTCAGGCCAATAGTAATTTGTCCATCACATAGTGCATTCAAAAGTGCGGATCGTAATTCTTCTGAATCACTGAAATCAATCAAATAGAGAAAGAATTTGGACACTTAGTCAGGGAGAAAAAGCCCAGCTCAATATTATGCCATGTCTTATAAAGATCATTTTCAGAATTTGTCTGAGTACCTCCGAAGAACCAAAAGTCTCGTGCGGTGGGAGTTCACTGCAGGGACCCACGTATGCCTGTTCGACAAAAGCTTCCATAACCAAGAAATTTCATCATTTTCATTTGCCGGTAGCCTTACGTACAATGATCCATTAGGCTAACAGGTCCCCGTAGTACGATTACGAAGATCCATCTTCGGAAGATTCATCTTCTCTGAAATACGATCAGCTCTGTAATAAGGTACCACTTAGTTTCTATTCGTAATACAGACAGAACTCTATCACAACCTTTCGCCATCATCCATTTGGGCACAGCCACTGCAAGGGTGTTCGACCTGCGCCCAATTCATGCCATCATCACGAATGACGGCACTGGTCGATAGCGAAAATATAGACAGCTGACAGCGTCCGGTAAGGTTAGAACACATCATGCGCACAGCCACTGCAAGGGTGTTCGACCTGCGCTCAATTCATGCCATCATCACGAATGACGGCACTGGTCGATAGGCGAAAATATGACAGCTGACAGCGTCCGGTAAGGTTAGAACACATCGCGCCACGTCCTCCATTAGGTATCTTAAAGTGTGTTAACAATGACAGTCAATAATTGTTGCGCAGTGATCATGTTCAGCACCCGTATACAGAAACAAAAGTCCTAGTAAGGTCAGAGTCATATGACCTACATTCCGCCCAGTGAGAAAACATTGTTCTACATGACTCGGATGAAGTCAGTCCCACATAAGTACAGACACCTGTCAGGCGATGAGAACTTGTGCATTGTTGCGAAAATCAACCTCACAGATATGAAGGTAAGAAATAGGATTTATGGAATTCTGAAGACTGGGTCTAAATGACGGGACCCAAAAGAAATAAAAGCAGTGGTGGGTCGTTGCAATTCATCTTGCGATATGAAAGCAATTTGCTCGTTTTGAATAAGATGGAAGGCGATGAAACGGTAAGTGTTGCAAGCAATTATCGGCAGGATAAGGAATTCCGTTTAGCAGTCTTATTGGGAACAATCGACGATCAAATCAAACTTGAAAGATGTCACGTGACCAAGGCTGTGCTTCAGTTGTGTGACTGTCCTAGGTAATCTCACATGACATTCGCACATCTTATGGGTCTGGATTCTATAGATGAATCCAAAAAACGATGTTAGACTGGAGTTACGTTTTTCAAAATTCCAGTCAATCATAACTGAATTCGAAAGAGAACAAAGGCCACAATATACTAGGATTCGCCACGCGTCTCGTATGGCTGATCGGATGCTTCCCGCGACTTCGTCATTTCATGACGAATTCGTTCATACCATCCAACGTCTGAAACGATTCCGACAGACTGACAGCTCAAAACCTGAACACTCCTCAAATCATCCGCCCGCATAAATCAAATCTCGAAAGCAAACGAAAACACAGCCTGCATGCGACCCATCAGGTTGTCATCTGTCTTGTAAAACTACAAGTGAACCAAATTGAAGAACATGATTCGGGCCTTTGAGATTCGTGCACTGACTTCATCACAGTTAATCAGACAATTGGAGTATGAGAAACTCGAGGTGGCTCAGTGGCTAGGGCACGCAATTGCCAGCCTCATAATCTTGACTTCCTGTATCTAGACTTGGGCAACCTGGCAGTATCTCAGCCCTTGAGCTACCTTTGGATGGCAGGGCAGCTGGGCAACGGAAGGCTGTTACAGCCGAACGAAATTGCGTGTCTAAAAATTCGCAGCGCTTTCTGGTTGTTCCAGAAGTACTGCTTGGTTGGGGATGATCCACACCGATTTAATGCGACCAAACTACACTGCACAGTAAAACAACCCACCGCACGTTTGAAGCGCTATTACAGAGCGCCACTGCCGGTTGTTCTGAGCAGGCTGTGGTTGGCTGAAACCAAGTATTTGTGTCTGAAAGCCCCAACAACACCACAAAGATAAAGCAGCCGGAGGTTGTCATCGACTCAGATGGAGTGGTTTTGCAACAGAGAAGGGTGGGTGAGATCAGTGAGCAGGTGGATGGTTAAGAACTACCAACGTCAATCGCGCGAACGACAGACGATGTAATTTGTCCGATTTGTTACGCAGTATTCAATTGTGTGTAGCTGGTTCATCTATTGCATACAATTCCACAATATCAGAATCGCACGTCAAGTAATCGACCTCTTCTAGAGAAATTCAAATAACTCATAGAGGCTGTTTCAGAAAACGTGAACCGATGGAATGTGAGGGCTAAACTTACGTTGCGCTAAGTCGAAGAAAGTCGATTGTCTCACCATATCGTTGTGTTCTTGCGCAATAGCTTGAAGAAGGCTGAGAAAAATATCGATCAGTGACCGGACGTCATCTGTTGAATTGTTTGGGCGAGTGATCAGGTCCGGGTGCCTGGGTGAATTATTGATTTGCACTCACCATCGATGTAGGTGTGCATCAAGCTATTCTTATACTGTAATTCAGTCTAATAACAGGTGAGATAGGTTCCCGTGCAGTAGACGAGCAGAAAGTGGTGCGTGCGTATACCATCAAACGGGAACAACGCCAACTGTCTATTTTTCACAGAGCATCATAGCCGCCAACTACAAACCCCAGGTAGAACGGAAATTTCACTTTTTGCTCCCTGTTTTATTCATAGCCAGTTCTGCAACAGAATTCAAACCACAGATGAGCCCAAAAATCAGATTCTAGCCAAGTTGCCGTTTAATTTTTGGATAGGTTGCCGCACATCACGAGGAACTACGTACAAATAGTGAGCCGCAAATAAAGTGAAGCCTGTAGTGAGTTACATGTGGATTACTGCAATCTTGGGTATTGATTCTACCCTTGATTATTGCAAAACAATGCGGAAAACTACGCGCATTGTCCTATTTTTGGCTGGTGTGCCGCAAAATAATGTCATCATTTTTAGAGTTTAGCCTGTCGACTCATCACCTGTCGACATCACCATAACCCTATCACGGGTTCCTGACAAAACACGTTAACGAATTTGATCGCGCTAGCCGCAGCAGGATCGATCTGTTTTTTTATCATTCCAGCCCTAACAAAGCAGTCGATTGGTTATTTTGGCTTGATTGCCGGTCCGCAAGGAGAGGCCATCAGAATATTAGGTTAAATCCCTTGGCAACGGTCACACATCAAATCGATGCAAGATTGACCTCAAAACTAGCTGTTATGCCATTTTTCCTTTCTGAAGTGGAAAAGACAAGGAATCAGAATTAATTTATGGGCCAGTGTAAAACCCAGGCTTGATCGTCGTAATGGGACAGTGGTGGAGCTAATCGACAGCAGAATGTAGCAGAATGGTAGAAAAGGGAGGCAAAATGCAATCCAGCTTTACTCATGCATACATTACTGCACGAACTACAATGCAATTAAACTAAGCCAGTCAGCAGCCAAACCTGAACTCGGTGTGAGCCTTCGCGAGCTGCCCATTCCCGGTGGAGAAAGGCGCTTGCTCCTGAGAGGTTATGATAGCAACAATGGAGCGTTGGTAGCAAAAATCGTCGGCACGCATGCCCCCAAGAGACAAAACTTTTAAGAAAAGAAAGTAAACAGTAATTTCACCTAATTTCCGTAGGTCAAACAAAAAGATCACGGAGTTCCGAAGAAATAAAACCTACGTTTAATTTTTCTTCTTCATTCACCAGCTGAACGGAACGAGGACCATTCATCCCATCTACTAGGTTATGGTAAGCAACTCGAGAATCTGTGGATACTGGAAGGCCGGGGGGATCGTTTACGTCACCTGAAATGCAAAAAAACGACAGAAGAGATAAAACCTTTACCAGACAACACAAAATGAAGTGTTCGCCGGATGGTCGACATCAGCAATGCTAAAAAACTTGTGGTAAGACTATGATCGTTGCCCCCACCACTGATTAAAACACCAGCGTTAACAACAGACACTTTTTTACTTTCCGTCAGGTTAGCCAAATAAAGGTCAGTGGCTAGAACGTGGACTTCAGAGGCACTTTTAAGGTCAAGTCAAGATACATTGGAGTGGAAAGTTAATGAAGGTGGTCGTGTGATGGCACAAAAGAACTGAGGACACGCGAAATATGATTTAAAAACATGGAGAAATCAATTGTACATCAGGGTCACGGACGGCTGGAGAAAAAGTGGGTTCGGAGAAAAAACAATTGACAAAAAGGAAAACGAAATAGCCAAGGCTGAGATAAACAATACAAATTTAAATTAACTAGAAACATTTACAAAAACTTCCTCTGTCTACATGTCTACTTTATCATATTACATTCTTATTCAACCGAATTCAAAGTCATCTGTACCACATTTTACCAAACGGCTGCGAGTCAAAATTTTCCGGCAGGCGTTCGTGAATAAACGAAGATTTGATTCAGGTGGAGTGCCGAACTTCGAAACCTCTTTAACGTCCAATTTTGGCCCATGGCTGTCAATTCTCGATAATAAACTACTGTCGTGCTTCTTGGCATTGGTCCATGATGCGACTAAAGGACTACCTGTCGCAGTGGGCCTCGATTCTTTATTATAGATTGTGATCCAGTAGAACACAATCCTAGTCAGCCGCGTACCAGACAGACTGTCTGGTTTGGGTATGACAACACACAGGACGGCGGTCAGAGAGGCTATAGCGAATGTGTCTTGGGTCCACTAGAATGCACAAAACATTCGTTGCCCCTGTACACTGATCTCACCTTGGTTTGGAGGGAGAGAACAACCGCCAGTTGTCAGTAGTTCTTACTGAGAATCCTTGGGGAAAAATGAGCAGAACCAAAAGTCCAGGGGACGCGCGACCAAAAGGAACACAAAGCATGGCATGCTGAATGTAAAGTTCGACTATACGGCTTAGTGCAAGTTTTGAAACAGTCAGCTGTCACCAAGACAGTCAATACTAATCGACTGACCAACCATTTACAGATTAAGTAGAAATCTATTTGGATGGCTGGCAGGTAGGCAGGTGTCAAGTGGCCTAAACAATGAATGAGCAATCAACAAGAGTCAAGGACACTGAAATGGTGTTAGCATTGTAGGTGACATATCAAGGCGCTCAAAAAAAGCCATAATCCATAGCATAAAGAACATAAGCAACGAGCGCAAATGAACACTGTCATTGGTAGTCAGTATGTTGCATCAAACAGGTGTTACTGTCTGTTGTCCATAAATGAAAAATGTAAAAGTACAGCTAATCCACAGCTAATCGCACCCTCCTCCTATTCATCAGGTCAGGCGATTATTCAGCCACCACCAGGGATTCATTCTATTCGGATGCAACTGATCATCTAGACGAGGCTGTTTTGAGAAGGCAACGGTAAATCAAAATCTCCTGGTTTATTGGTAAAGAAAACACAAGGAGGGACAAGCATAAGCTATCAATTAGGACACCATGTGTTGTATTGACCAAAAGTATTGTGATATATGACACACAGCAGGACTCTCAAGAGCAGGCGTTTCCTAAGGACTCAGAAACATTCCAAGTCCCGGAATGCTAACAACAGAGAACTCACGCCCTTCTCTACGAGAAAATCTTAAATACGTAGCTGCCAAGGCAAATAAGATAATAATAATAATCGTTCAGCTGTAGCACCCCTTAGGTACTGTGTTGTATTGACCAAAAGTATTGTGATATATGACACACAGCAGGACTCTCAAGAGCAGGCGTTTCCTAAGGACTCAGAAACATTCCAAGTCCCGGAATGCTAACAACAGAGAACTCACGCCCTTCTCTACGAGAAAATCTTAAATACGTATCTGCCAAGGCAAATAAGATAATAATAATCGTTCAGCTGTAGCACCCCTTAGGTACATAACTTCCATGAACGATGGCTGAGATAATGCCAGGTTGACCAGACCTAGACAGGGAAGGTCGAGATGTAGAAGTCGGGTTCGAACCATGGACCTTCCGGTGAATAAATCACGCCCTAAACAATGAGCCATCTCGTTATCTGCCAAGGCAACACTATCGTCCGATTATGACGATATGCCATATCGCTGGTGAGGGCTCCGTTACACGAGTGGTACAACAGGAAACTACGTGACATCATGACAAACCGTTCATCCAGGTGTTATCGACATACAGTGATCTCCAGCTTAAAATGAACAACTGTACCGTGGTTCCGCCTCGGAAAGACTGCACTTAATCGTGGTGCGACGGACTGTGCAATTCGGAAAGCCATTATTCTGCACGGTCTCCAACCACAGTCTCTTCTGACAGGCTGAGCAACGGATAATGGACTGACACAGATCCTAACCGTTCAGGATGGGGTCACAATAAGTATGGCCATTTGTTTCATGGAATTTGTGCTACTCAAATAAGTTTATGCGAACTACCGCAGCCACACGGCCACACTCTTGAGCCTGGATGAAACTGAGAGCCGCAAACACCCCTTTACCCAGGCCTGGGCGTCCTAGAATTATCCCGAACCACATGAACTGCACAATTACAGATAACCTCAAGACACATAGACAGGCACGTGAGGCCATCAGCCAGCTTGTCTGAATTGCTGCGTATGTATGTATGTATGTATGTATGCTGCGTGGTAAAGAAAAACGGCCTACTGCTGACGCCTCACCAGTTCTATTACATACTCACTCTATTTCCCCTCATTAACCAAATGTCGGCAGAAAACACGTTGACCTATTGTTGAGGACCAAATGTTCCGTCCATAATGCATTTGCGTTCACCTCAATATCCACGGTCATCATCATAACCACTGAGGGGAACACCGGATGAGAACACAGTTGCATCAATGCATGAATATATCCACCAGCGCAATAAAACCATAAGAAAACAGCACGAGCAAGGGGGACCATGGAGAAAGCTAGACGAACAACCCAAGTTGCTACATCTTCCGAACTCCATGGAGAAACCTACATAGAAACTGAGAGCGGCAACATTATCAGCTATATGAACCGCGTACGTTTCCTACAGTGGTTCTATCTGCCACAGCTTCGTTCACCGATGATTTAGACAGGTGAAGTGGACAGCTACCCTTTGGAGGCGATAGCTGATATAATTCGTGCGTAAATACAGAAATGTCAGCGGAATTTTCATTCGGGAAATCAGAAGGGCAGCAATCCATTGAAGACAATAGGTTGGAGGTATGAGCGCCATTGAGGGTGTGACTGGGCCATGTCTGACACCATCGCTGACCATCGATATGTCCCTTATCGGAGTCCCCATCCAGGGAGATGGCAATGACCAGTGCAGCTGAGTTTATTGGTAATGGCTTTTATACTTCGCTGCCAAATCATCGTTTGAACTCTCCTGGCTCGTTTCAACCCTTCATGTGGTTTATCGAAAATGTATCTTCGAGGAGGTTGGTCGACTGGCAAAATGAACATATTACCAAATCAACGCAACCCATGGAGTGCGTTTAGTTCATACATCAAGGGCGAATTAGGCCTTATGAAAACCACTCGACTTACTTCACCATTACTGATCCGGTGTTCCCACCAGACTCGTGCATTGCCGCGAAGGCATCGGCGGTCTTTTGACGTCCTCGGCGCGCAGTGGCCAGGTTTCTGGCGCGTATAATAATATGGGGCGCACCGCAACACTGTAAACTCAATCCTTGGCGGATAATCTGGTGTCACGCCAATGCGACAAGTCATACAGGCTCACAAAATCTGCTCTGATCTTCAATTCCAGATGGAAATATCATTCTTGGTGACACCAACTGGACTGAAACAGCCGCCAAGAGAGACGTTATATCTGACTGCTGTCCCCACTCGTGCCTAGCGCCAGAAAAAAGACTCGCCGACAAGGAACACAACAGCTTTATTGCGAACAAGCAGGTGAATGCGAAAAATCTAACGGCCTGGAGATATACATTCACGAGTCATCGTCTGACTGGCGTTTAGTGGAGTTTGAGAGTCTTAGTAGGTTTCGGGTACTATGGGATAGTCTTCAGGAATCTGAACTTCCTGAAAAGATAAATATGTCTGCTACCTCAATCGGCTCATTTGCAAGCATGGAGTTAGGAGTAGAGCCCATCCAGTCTAGAAGCAGTACTTTACACTTGCACATGCCAAACGTGAGGCAGAATTATTTACATTATTTGACGTCGTAAGGATAACGATGACGTCAGATCCAAGATCTATGTCACCTGCCTACTCGAAATTTGTGAACGAAGGCCCAGGGAGCACTTCGATCGCACAGATATTAGAAGCTGAGAGTGAGTGTTCCATTATCATATCACTGGCGCAGTTGAGAAGGGAAGGCGAAAGAGGACAGCTTTGCCTGACATCACTTGACGTGGTGGGCTCAGGAGCGGGCTTTCCGTAGATCTTCACACATCCGCGGAATTTGGTGTACAACGCCCTAAAAAGGGTCAAGAGTCTACCAGAGAAACCTGGGCTCCGATAAGCACTGCCATATTGCTTGAGTTCAGAGACAAAGGCGGCTTTCAAGTCAAAAGGGACAGTCATTGTTGGTTTCTGGGAGCACTCTCGTTAGTCCAGAATCTGTTGGAATGAAAGTCGTTCGGCTGTCTATCTGTCATGCCATCCGAAGGAAGCACGAGAGGTGGGATATTGCCAGGTTGCACAAGCCTAGACAGAAGTCGAGACGCAAAGGTCAGGTTTGAACCGCAGACCTTCCGATCAGAAAATTTGCACTCTAAGCACTGGGTCATCTCGCCGTTGTAGGGCGGAAATGTGATCAGTGCATCCTCTTGCAGGACGGAAATCACCTTGCCTCTCACGGATCTGTCTCTCCTTGTGTCCAGTCTACCTCAGAAGGATAAGACCAGAGAGCGTCACAGCTAC